TATGAGATATTATACTTAGATTATACAGAGATCTACTTGAATATATTTATGAAAGCCATCCAACATATCTACTACTTCACTATATTCTATTGTTTCTATATAGAGAGCTTAGATGGTATCCAAAACTAGCTTCATCTTCAACTAATACACAAAATATAATTAAGACCAAGACCAGAATGAAGATCTAAAATATAATGAAGATTAAGACCAGCCTTTGCACATTACTCAATTCATTTCATCTGTTTCCTTATCACAATGAATTTACAATAATTTTTCATAGCAGAAAATTGTTGCAAGAATTTATAGTTAACATCTAGGCTGCTACAAAACAAAATTAATTAAAATATTTATATTTATACCAAGATACATTATAACAGATATGTATCAAGGACTGGCAGCAATAATTAGAGACACTGCAAATCAAAAAAGTCACTAAATAATTTAGAACAGCATATTATTCTTTCTTTAATACATATTGGAAGTCCACATCATATGCTAAAAGTTTTTCAAGACTTTATAGCCATAACTCGATTTTTTATTATTTTAATATATTTAGAACTATGATAGCAAATCCAAATTAGCCAAAAATTACTAATGAATTACTACTTGGCCAAACTGCGTCTGATCAACCTGATTTAATAGCACTAGTGTTTGAACTTAAACACCATGTTTTTATACATAATATCCAAAAAAAATAATATTCCAGAAAAATCTGTAGCTCATATATATATGATAGAGTTTTAAAAACATGGCCTCCCACATATGCACTTTATTATTTTTCTTCATCAAAACAGTAAAATCAGAATGCCTGCCAACTTTGATCATATCGTATATGCTGAGATTCTAAATAAAGATAATGATCCTATACTCTTTAGTACAATTTTACGCTGTATTATTTATAGACTATGTGGTACATGTAATCTGCAAGCGCGTATAGAAAACAATGAATACAAAAAATAATATCTAAAAGATTTTTAGAAAATGATATCAATGGTTAAAGATAGTTATCTACTCTATGCTAAGAGACATGGCAGGTATTCATTAAATGTTAATAGTAAGTTTTTTGATAACTGAGATGTAGTGCTATACAATCTAATTCTCAGCCAAACATATAACTGCCACATAAATATTGAAGTTTGTGCATCCATACGAGCTATCAAATATATATACAAATATATTTACAAAAGCTATGATAGAACAACTTTACAATTCAGAAATGATCAAGATAAAATTAGATATTTTCTTGATACAAAATATATAGAGGCATCTAAAGCAGCTGGTATCTCTTTTCTATACATATGTATGAGAAAGTAATTAACATTATAAAGTTGGTGTTACATCTTCTTGGAATATATCAAGTTGTACTTGATCTGAAAGATGAAGCTGCTGCTGTTCTTGCTCAAGCTGAATAACAGAAAACTATACTCATCACCTTTTTGAAGTATATGCTACCATAGAACTTGCTTGCTAATATACTTATCAGGAATTCTCTCAACATTTTAGGTGAAATAAAACTAGCAAGAAATAGATAATTCGAAAACAAGGCTTTGCTATTGGCAAACTATATTTTGCAAATCCTTCCACAGGAGAACATTTCTACCTTTGACTACTTCTTATTAATGTTTGTAGTCTACAATCATTTGATCACTTATGAACAGTTAATGGTATTTTCTATCCAACATTTGAAGATGTATGTTTGGCTCTTGGTTTGTTGAAAGACAATAATGGATAGATTCAATTAGGGTACAGAATGGGTCAGGTTCAACCCAAAATTTTGCAGGTTGGGTCAGGTTTGAGCCAGGGTCGGGTTTAAATTTTAGGTCTGATATAAATCAGGTTAGGCTCAAATCGGGCCCATTAAGATATTGGGTCAGTTTTGAGCCCTATTATTTAACTCATAAAAGCTTGATAGTATCCAATAAACCTTAAATAAAGCATAGAACCTAAATTAAAGTTTATAGCTAAATGCATTGATGTGTTGTTTGAGTCAAATTCAAATATATAGTGCTTTATTCAACTAGTTTTAATAGAGAATTTACTAAAATAATAGGTTAAGAATTCATCACGACTACATTAAAATTTATATTTGACAAGCATAAATTTTGTAATAAGCTATTTTGCTAATTTTGCAAAATTTACTACTAATTTTGCTAGCTAGTTTTGCTTTTAGAACCACAAACTCTGGCTAAAACACCAATATGAATGATAATCTGATGCTAAGCTAATCTAATATATATATCATAATTGGCAGGCTTTGATCAAGGTATGGAAGGATTTGGTTTGAAGATAGGGTGTTTTAGGCTTATTGTGGCTATCACAGAAACCCGAAGCTAAGCAATTGGTACTGAATACTAATGTATAGTTCTAGTCAAAATAATTGATGACCATTTGTACAAGCCTTACTTATTAAAAGTGAAAGTATAAAAGAGCTGTCTTTTTGCTCTTTGAATAAAGCTTTAGACTTCAATATCTTTAATATAGGAGTATTAAGAATTGATTTCTCAAGTATTGTTATAAGTTTATTATTATATTGTCATATTTATTATTATTTTCTTATTTTAACCTTGAAGGTTCTTCAT